ACACCAGACATAAAAGAAACAAATGGAGGTCATGGGGCTCACGTGCACGGGAGGTCTTTCTTGCACCAGCAGACTTGTTCGCACCGGCATAGTTGTTCGCACCAGCGTTGCGCATTTCCCTTCGGCAGGCCGCTCGCGCCAGCTGACTTGTTCGCACCGGCGTTGCGCGCTTCGGGGCGTAAGCCTAGGTTCGAGTAAGTTTAGTGGACTCAGAGGGATACACTACGTATCTCTAAAACGAGGAGGAGGAGGAGGAGGAGGAGGAGGAGGAAGGGGGGGAGGAGGAAGGAGGAAACCAGAGGAGGAGCAGGGAGGGAACTAGAGGAGGAGGAAGGAGTGATGGAGGGAGGGGGCCCAGACGAAAACTAGTAGAGTTTGTTTGGATTTCGGTGAAGCCCCGGACCGGGAGAGAGGGAGGGAGGGAAGACGACGATGACGACGGGGCTACTCACAGACGAAGCCCCGCTCGATACCTCTGGCAAATTCATGCACGGAGAGCCCAAAAGTGACGACTGTTACTAGAATCGAATGACCCGCTCGGATTACCAGCGGAGCCCAAAAGTGACGACAGTTACAAAAGTTCCATGACCCGCTTCGGATTCGAACATGATCTGCGGGCCCCTTAAAGAGGGGGCTCCCGCCTGAGACTTCCTCACAATGCACTCCCAGACTAGGCTCCCGCCTGGCACTTCTTCCATATTCAGGCCTGAGTAGCCCAAAAGTGACGACGGTTACTGGAATTATATGACACGCCTCGGATTAGTAACGTGATCTGCGGGCCCCTAAAGAGGGGGATCTCGCCTGAGACTTCCTCACAATTCATTCACAGACGAGGCTCCCGCCTGATACGTCTTCCAAATTCAGGCCTGAGGAGCCCCAGAGCGATGACAGCTACAGGAATTCTATGACCCGCCACAGGTTAGTAGCATGATTTGCGGGCGCTTTAGGGAGTGGGCTCCCGCCCGAGACTTCCTCGCAATTCGCTCACAGACGAGGCTCCCGCCGGATACTACCTCCATGTTCAGAACTGATGATGATGGTGAATGATCGATGGATGATGGTGTTGGCGATGATGCAACTGATGATGATGAGTAGTGATAACGACGAGTGCTGGTCACGCGGTGTTGGCAATGACAATGCTGATGATAATGAGTAATGATAATGGGTGTGTGATTGAGTGAATTTGTGAGTGAGTGAGTGGGTGTCTGAGTGAGTGAGTGAGTGTGTGTGAGTGTGTGGGTGCTCCTGTTCCTGTTCTGGCGCGGGGTATCCGAAGAAAACAAGAATCTCACTTTGGATGGGGGGAACAATTGCAAAAGCTTCGCGGATTGAGGTCGGGTAGTTTTCAACATGTGGTTCTCGCTTTAGCGCGGCGCACATTCGTTTAAAACAATTGCAAGAGTTTCACGGGTTGAGGGCGAGTCGTCTTCAAAATGTGGCTCTCGCCCTAGCGCGGAGCACATTCGTTTTGAAAAATTGCAAGAATTTCCCGGATTGAGGGCGGTTCTTTTTCAATCTGTGGTTCTCGCTTCAGCGCCGCGCACATTCGTTTACAATATGTTTTAGAGTTTCACGGATGCCCATCATCAACGTACCAGCGATGGTTTTTTGGAAGGATTCAGGGTTACGCGGGTGCAACAGTTATGCTGACTGTCGGTGTTGAAGTATTAGAAATGGCGTTCTGGCACGATTTCAGGATCGTCAAGACGCAACTGTCAGATTGATCCGTGGCGTTGGAATTCCGAGAACAATGTTTGGGTATGCTTCAGAGTCATCACACGGGTGCCTTGCAACAAGGCAGTTCCATCAATGAAAATGAACCATTGTAGGGGCCTGTGAAGAGGGAGCTTGGAGGGAGGGTTTACTCCAACATCGTTGATGACTCTTGGGTTTGCACTGGTCCTCCTCCTCCTCCTCTTCCTCGTCGTCCGCGTCCTCGTCCTCCTCCTCCTCGTCCGCGTCCCCCTCCTCCTCTTCCTCCATCTCCTCTCCTCCTCTTCCTCCCTCTCGCTTTTCTCCTCTTCCTCTTCGTTCGCGTTCTTCGTTCTTCTCGTCGTCCTCCTTCCCTTCGTCTTATCCCTCCTCCTCTTCCGCCTCCTCCTCCTCGTCATCATCCTCTTGGTCTTCTTCTTCTTCCGACGACGACGACGACGACGCCGGAGTGGAGAAGGCACGGAGGAAAGAGGTCCCAAGATTTGTCGCCCGTCTCCGCGCTCGCGACCCTGCGTGGGTTTCGGGACCGAAAACAGAAGGATTCGAGAGGAAATGCTGATCCCGTGGGGACAGCGCCGTGGTCCAGGACCCGTTCCCTTCAGGGAAGGCTGGGCTGGGGTCGGTGGGTAGACATGGCATTGTTGTCATCGTAGCTCTTGTGCTCGGGCTAGGTGTGAAGGAATTCGACCGCCCGTCGCACTTTCCCGAGAAGTACAGCCAGAGCGAGATTATGTTCGTGAGCGAAGTTGTGCACAGCAGCCCCATGCTGTGTGGGAAAACGCCCTGTGGTCCAGGACTCGTTCCCCTCAGGACCCGTTGGTTTCATGCATTTCCTCCTCCCTCCTCCTCCTCCCTCCTTCTCCCCCGTCTCTTCCTCCTCCGCCTCATCCTCCTCTTCCTTCATCATCTTCCTCCGACGACGACGACGAGGACGACGACGAGGACCCTAGATCTCCCCGATGTCTGGCACGACGGCGGCTGCGACGACATCGTCGACGTCGAAGGCCTCCGCCTTCTCTAAGGTCGGACGGCGGGGGGGGGGGGGAACTGGGCGGGGGTGCGAAGTCAGCTGATCGAAGCTAGCTGGCTTCGGCCCTGCCGCTGGGCGCTCTCCTCAATGCTTTGGCGCCCCCGGGGCCGAGAGGCGCCGGAAATCAACACTGCATGCAGGTGGTTTGCTACCTCCGACGGCGGCGATGGCGACGGCGGCGAGAAGATGTCGGACGCCGTGGGGGATAGCAGGGCGAGGAGGCTTAAGGTGGCCAAGGCCTGAGGGCCCTGAGGGCCAGGACAATGGCATACATTTATCGCCATGAGGGATCCGGAAAGGGGTCCTTAGGAAAACGGGTCCTAGACCCTCTGGGTTTTCCCAGGACTTTCTCCATCCTCCCGACGCTGTTTTAGATAGTCAGGCGATCGCAAACATGGATCAAGGGGGCGTGGATTAGCGACAGGCCCTGTTTCCATGGGGAATCGCGGATTTCCGCCGCCGAGCGAGGCGGCACCGGCCGCACTTTGGGGAGGGCACCTCCCCCGATCCATGGATTTGGCAACCGCGCGCCAAATCCATGGATCGCTAATCCATGTTTGCGCCCACGAATTACCGCCATGAGGGAAAGGGGTCCTGAGGAAAACGGGTCCTAGACCCTGGGGGTTTTCCCAGGACCACTTCCATCCTCCGGACGCTGTTTCCCTTCCTGCGGGCCGTGGAGGGCCCCGGGGGGCCTGTGAACAGCGAGCAGCCTCCATGGGACCCCTCTCTTCCAGGGCCCGTTTTCCTTTCGTGGCAGGTGCAGCCGATTCGCTGCGTCCCCCCATTGCCATCCCGACCCTTTTTCCCTGGGTCGCCAACCCCCCACTCCACCCACCTCCTCCTCTTCATCTTTCTCCTTCTTCCCCTCCTCCTCCTCCTGCTCTTCCTCCCTCCTGAGGGAAAAAAAGAGGTACCAATACCGCTGCTCCCCAGACCTCTCCCGTGGTGCGTTCTGACTAGAATTTCGAAGCGGCTGCAGCCTTTTCGACGAGGGCCTCAGGATGCATATTGAGCCGAAACCGATGGAGGCCCTCCCACCTCCCCCCCATTCTCCTTCGTCCTCCTCCTCCTCCTCCTCGTCCTTCTCCTGCTCCTCCTCCTCCTCCTGCTCCTCCTACTCCTTCTCCTCCTCCATCCATCCTCCTTGTTGCTGGCGCAGATTCTCTTGAGGACTCACAAACTGAAGAAGAGCCGGATCAGCGCCGCCTGGGGCCTGCTTGACAGGGCCCGCAGTTTGTGGTCGCGTGTGGCCATGCTTTCTTGCTGCCATGTAAGCGAGTGTGCTGGCAGCGTCTAGTTGCGCTACCCAGTCGGTATCCATGGGTGAGGTGTTGGCAGCGACCCACAGCCAACAAACGGTCCGATGAGGGTTCGACCAGTGCGAGATGAGACGGCGTCTGGTCGGAGACATCCTCCTGGGGCGTTGCTGTGCTCTTGCTCGCTAGAGCATTTGACATGTGTGCGGAACTATGCTGTCAATGCCACGCTTCCCTGTGGTTTTGCTGTCCTCCTGCTCGGAATGCACGCCGCTTGAAGCGGCGGAGAGCTTGAGAGATCAATCTGACAAGTGGCATCCTCCTCCATCCTCCTCCTCCCCCCCTTCCCCTCGCCCTCGAGCCCCCGTGTTTGCCTCGAATCGAGCTGTGTTCCCTAGGGGATCCCCTTGGCACACAGGTCTCACCCGAGGTCAGCTGCTGGCGGAATTCGTGCGCTTCGTGCGCTCGGCCACGAGCGGCATGAGGAGGAGGAGGAGGAGGAGGAAGAGGAGGAGGAGGAGGACGGCCAGCAGCTGCAGGAGGAGCATGATGGAGGGTGTGCCCCATCGTCCCAATTCGTTTTTCTTATGTCTGAGGGCACGCTGGCTTGGACAGCGTGCCCGCTCTTCATTTCATTGTATGCCATTTCCACTTTATTTCCTCTCATTTCATTTCATTATACCTTCCCCTCCCCCATCCCCGTCCTCCTCTTTCTCCCTCTCGCCCTCCTCCATCCTCTATCCTCCTCCCCTCCCCCCCCTCCCCCTCCCTCCTCCATCCCTCCCTCCCCCTCCCTCCTCCATCCCTCCCCCCCTCCCCACAACTCCTCCTCCATCCTCTGCCCTCCTCCCCCTTCCTCTCCATCCCCCCCTCCCGCCTCCACCTCCCCCTCCCCCATCCTTCATGTCCCCCTCCCTTTCCTCGTCCATCCCGCTCCACATCCCCCTCCATCCTCCCTCTCCTCCTGCGCACCTCCAAACCTCCCCTCGCCGACCCAGCTGGACCTCGACCGCGGCTGGGCCTTCTGGGACCTGTGGGGCAGCGGCGGCTCCTCCGGCTCGGACGGCGGCCGCGCGCGGCACCGAGGGCGCCGCGCGCCCCGCCCCCATACGGGGAGGCGGAGGGGGACGGGGGGGGCGGGAGGAGAGGGGCAGGGGAGCGAGGACGGGGGAGTGGGGGGGAGGAGGGGGAAGGATGGGGAGGAGGGGGAGGGGGATGGGGGGGGGGGGGAGGAGGAGGAGTTCGAGGAGGAGGAGGAGGAGGAGGAGGAGGCGGCGGAGGATGCCCTCCGTGCTGACCGCCTCAGTGCTGAACGCCTCAACGTGGTTTCTGCAGAGCCCCTCAATGTCGAACGTGCAGGGCCCTCAGCAAGAACTTGCGTCACGTGATCGTCAGGTGTATGAGATGCTCAAACAGGCTTCGTGGCCGGTTTCGTTTTACAGTGTGTTGCCGCCAGGGGGTCGACCTATCCGAGGAGTCGGAAGTCTCCGAGCAGCGAGTGGGTCATGCAAGCATTCTAGCATGATTGCAAGCTGTCGTTGTTGAAGCTTGTCCTTTCGTAGCCCGATTTTGGTTTCAACGTGCGAGCGCATTGATAGGTACACATGTCGTTTGTTCTGCACATGGCGTGTACGTATGCGTTCGTTTATGATTGTGCGTATGCTAGCCATTTCAGCTTGTACAGGGTTTTAGGGCATTTGCACTGGCGCCGCAACCGAAGCCTGAGAGCTGCAGCAGAGGACGCGCAAAGAGCACCTGCTCCTGCCAGTGCCCCTAAACATCCTGCAAGCGTTGATTCGTATCCAGCTTTCTTCATAGGGCGAGGGACGTCCAGGCAGTGACGATCATCGAGTGGGAGTGGTTCTGCTCATTTTCCTCTGAAGGAGGGGGAGGGGCAGGAGGGGGACCAGGAGGAGGAGGAGGGGAAGGAGGATGAGGAGGAGGAGGAGGTGGTAGAAGGGCCAGCCCACAGAGGTCCCTTGGAATTCCCAGCCCTCCAGAGTCCCCAGAGGTGTGCGTCGAGGAGGGGGGGGGTGAGGCCGTCGCCCCCCTCCCCATTTCGGCGGCCTCGGAAGTCTAAGACTGCGCCAGTGAGGCCCCGCGCACCCCGGATGCCCGCGAGATCCCCGCGGAGGCTGGAGGCTCGGGGAGCCTCTCGGAGGCCCCACAGAAGCCCGGCAGGCCAGCTGCGTGGCTCTGTTCTCTGACCACGGTCGTCCTGGGGCGGAGGGCAGCGTGAGGCTCACCGGTTGCGTTTGAGGGGTGGGCCGGGGCGATCACGTCTGAGGGGTGGGGGGCGGCCGCCTGTCACCGGGGGGAGCCCCACAGGAGCCCCCCAGGGGCCACCTGCTGGGTTGCATCCCCCGAGGGGGCAGGCGGTATCAGGTCGCGAGGCGTGCTGAGCCTCGCCTGGAGCGCTTTCTGACCAGGATTTCGAGGCGGCTCCATCCGTGCCACGAGGGAAACACCGAACACGCAGTAGGGAGGAGGAGGGTGAGGAGGAGGAGGAGGAGGAGGAGGAGGAGGAGGAGAGCCAGTGTAAACCCGAGACGCGTCAACGATGTTGCCACACATCCTCCTTCCACGTTCCCTCTTCGCATGTCCCTGCGAGGATTCATGTTCACGGCGGAAAGTGCCCCGTCATATTCAACATCGCGAATGAACGTTACTGTTGCGTCCTGACGAACCTGACGATCCTGTATCGTACCAGAACGCCGTTCCTGAGACATCGACATCACGATTCAATGTGAGTATCGCGCCCTGACAATCCGAAATCATAGCAAACAGACTTTCTGGGACGTCAGCCATAAGGACCGTTAAAACTATTACGACTGTGCACTTGTAAGACGAATATGCGCGGCGCTACGGCGAGAACCACATGTTAAAAAGGAGCCGCCCTCCATCCGTGAAGTTCTTGCAAGTTTTTAAGACGAATGTGCGCGTCGCACAGGCGAGAGCCACGTTTTGAAAACGGCCCGCCCTCCACAAGCTTCAGGAGTATCGTTAGCAAGGAAGTCTAAGGCGACACGTCTCGGGGTGCAACAGGGAGGGTTCATCTAAAAGGATACAGTTTGGAGCAGGAAGAGTAGGGGAGGAGGGGAGCATGAGCTGGGGGATGGGGATGAGGAGGAGGAGGAGGAGGAGGAAGAGCAGGAGGAGGAGGAGGAGAATCGGAGGAGCAGGGGAGGTGAATAGAAGAAGGATGAATGGACGGACGGACGAACGGACGAACGGACGGATAAATGATAAATATTAGCATGGAAATGGAGATGAAATTGCTTATGATGACGATGATAACGATGACGAAGACGATGGCGAGTGTGATGATGATGATGCTGATGCTGATGCTGATGCTGATGCTGATGCTGATGCTGATGACGATGATGCTGATGCTGATGATGGTAGTGGTAAGGATTACAGCGTTGACGATGGTGATGTTGCCGATGATGATGCTGATGATGTTGCTGAGTATGCTGATGTCGATGCTGTAGTAATGATGATCATGCTGGTGGTTATGCTGATGCTGATGTCAATGATGATGTTAATGATGTTGATGATGCTAATGATGGTGTTGATGCTGATATTACTGATGAGTCGAATGTTAATGAGGACAGCGATGATGATGATGGTGATGATGATGATGATGGCGATACTGATGAGTATGATGATGATGATGACGATGATGCTGATGATGATGTTGATGAGGACGATGATGTCGATGGTGACGAGGCCGATGATGCTGATTACAATGATGATGTTTCTGCTGATGGTGGTGATCGTGATGGTGTTGGTGATGATGGTGATGATGATGGTGATGATGAGGAGGAGGAGGATGCTGATGATGACGACGATGATGATGATGATGATGATGATGATGATGATGATGATGACGATGCTGACGCTGATGATGACGCTGCTGATGATGATAACACTAGTGATGACAATGTTGATGATCCCCGGCAGACGTTGCGCGGGACAACCGTTCCTGGCAACCACGTTGCCCATTTCATCCAGTACCGAGCGCGCTCCGCTACTCGCAAAGTGCCGACTCGCAAACGCCCGAAACAACACGCCTCCATGTACTGGATCGTATGTCCACGTGCCGGGTACAGGCCATTTGCGAGTAGTTCCTTTGCGAGTCGTGGAACGCGCTTGTCGAATCCATCTCGCTTCCCTCTGTTGCATTGCATTCGTTCTATTCGATCCTGGATTTGTGGATTGACCGCTGAGCCAGTGAGTTTGAACTCAGCTCTGGCCCGACCCGGCTGATACGCTTGTGGCGGATATTCTTATCTACAGACCAGTGCTATCTATTTCCCCCTCGTTCTCTTCCTCATCTCATCTCCTCCCTCCTCCCTCCTGTTCCCTCTCGGTGATGTGTGTCGGGGATATCGTTAGCCGTTTGGGCCTCGGGGAATATTCACGTGCATGCAGAGCAATTGCATTGCCGATCGGTTGTCCAGGACACGATTCATAGTTTGTTGTCGTGGGTTGCCAATTTATCTTTCGATTGTTGGCGTGGTTGTGTTGCCCATGATGTTTTGCGAGGTGGTGATGATGGTGGTGATGATTATGGCGGTGATGGTTCTGGTCATGGATGGTGATGGTGATGGTCATGATGATAATGATGATGCTGATGGCAATGCTGGTGAATTATGATGATGGTGGTGGTAAGGATGATGACGGTAAGGATGACGGATGTGCAGATGATGGTAATGATGTTGATTACGTTGATGATGATGATGTTTATGTTGTTGATGATGATGTTGATGACGATGATGATGGTGATGGTGATGGCGATGCTGATCATGCCAATGATGATTGTGTTGATGATGGTGATGACGATGATGAGTAGGATGAGTCTGGCGATGGTGATGCTGAGGAGGAGGATGTTGCTGCTGATGATGATGGTGGCGATGGTGGTGGCGGTGATTATGATGATGGCGACGACGACGATGATGCTGATTATGCTGATGGTGGTGGTGATGATGCATTCTTACGATGGTGATGTTGTCAGTGGTGGTAGTGGTGGTGGTGGTGGTCATGATGATGATGCTGATGCTGCTGCTGCAGATGATGACGATGATGATGATGACGATGATGACGATGATGATGCTGATGATGATGATGCTGATGCTGGTGATGATGATGATGACGATGATGACGATGATGATGCTGATGATGATGATGATGATGTTGATGATGATGATGATGATGATGATTATGATGATGATGATGATGATGATGATGATGATGATGATGATGATGATGATGATGATGATGATGATGCGACGACGAAGGCGACGGCGATGGTGAGGATGGGGGGCGGATTGCTTGGAAGATGAGGATGAGGAAGAGGATGATGAGGATGAGGAGGGGAGGGATGATGAGGAGGATGGGGAGGGCGCCACGTCGCCCTCCCGGGCCCGTCCTGCTTCTTGGGGGCCTCTGGGGAAGCACCCTCCTCGCTTGCCAGCCCAGACCCCCAATTTTAGGCCTCCAGGGGCCTTCGCCCGGCCCTGGGACCGTCAAAACGTACTCGGGATGAAACGCCGCTCACCGGGAAGGGTGTCCAGACCTCTGGGGCCCGAGGGGCGGCCTTCACTAATCCGGGCGTTACCTTTTTGTCCACGCGGTACGTTTTCGCCAGATTCCCTTCCTCCTCCTCCTCCTCCGCCTCCTCCTCCTCCTCCGCCTCCTCCTGCTCCTCCTCCTCCTCCTCCTCCTCCTCTCTCCTCCTCCTCCTCCTCCTCCTCCTCCCCCTCCCCCCTCCTCCCCCTCCCCCTCCTCCTCTTCCTCCTCCTCGCCCTCCCCTCCTTGGGTCGTCTACGGCCCCGGGGGAAACCGTCCAGGGCGGCCTTCCCTAATCTGGGCGTTACCTTTTTTCCACACGCGGTACGTTTTCGCCAGATTCTGGGCCCTTCGGGGCCCTTCATGTGCGAGGAATGCTGCAGGGAAACTGTGTTCACGATCCCCGACCCCATTTTACACGGTGTTGCAGCTTTCCGCGTCGTCGGGTCCCAGGGTTCTGAGAAGGCGGGGGGGGGACTTGCAGAGGCTTCCAAAAGCCTTCCTAGAAGTCGGAAAGGGCTTCTACGGCCGCTGTTTTCTCAGAAGCCACCCCGTCTTCTGGGAATAGGTCCAGACCTCCGTGGGCCCACGTCAGTCACCACGTCATGAAGAGACACGACGTCGGGGGTATGGGAAGCTGGCCTTCCACGCGAGGTGCGCTCCCACGGGCCCGATTCTCGCGCCCCGTTTGCGAGCGCTGCGGGTACGCCGCAGCTTGGTGGACACGTGCGCGCCTCCAGCGTGAGCTGGGCGTGCCACGCTGCAGGGCGTGCCACACAGAGTCCCAGTCGCTCCAGCGACTCGACTTCGGCCCACTTCTCTTCAAGCGGCCTGTGCTCCGCCTTGCCACACGGGTAGGTGAGAAACTCGGGCTCTCTTCGCCCAGGCGCTCCGTCGTCAGAGTCGGACCGTCTCTCCTCCCCCCCGCGTCGCTTCCCCTCCCCCTCACCCTTCCCTTCTCATTTCCCTTCCCCGTTCTCCTTCGCCTTGCCCTTTCACTTCCCCTGCTCTCCCCCTCTACCTTCTCCTGCCCCTTCGTCCCTTCCTCCCCCTTGCACTCTCCATTCCCCCTCTGCTGCCCCTTCCCCCTGACATTTTCCCCCTTCCCCCCCGTCCCCCTCTTCGCCGCCCAATGCACACTTCGGCGGCGAGTCCAGCTGGGAAGTGGGAGGGGGCACACCTTCTCAGATGGCGGCGGGGCTTCTCAGAGACCATCGCGCCTTTGGACAAGTTGCCCGTATCTCCGGAGACGGCTTGGAAGATTTCTCAGAGGGCTTGCGGGTTTCTAAGAATCCCCGTCGCCCTCTGAGAAGACCGCCCCATCTCATTTCCCCCCGGGGGCTCGCCGCCAAAAGCTGCACTCCCCCTTCCCAAGGAGAGGCATTCATGTCGCGCAGCTCCTCTGGCTCCCCCTGGCCGTTTCCCCGACACTAACACCCCCGCCGCCCCGCGGCAAGGCGCCGAGGAGGCCGACGAGGCCGGCGCGGGCGGGGCGCGGCGGAAGGCATCCTCGCTGGACCAGTTCGTGGCCCACCAGAAGTCAGAGATCAGGACCGGCCAGGGGTCTGCCCAGGCATGCTCGGGTCGTGAACAAGAATCACGGCGGGCGGTCTCTGGCCGCTTCCTTCCTCTGCAGCGAGCGGCTTGAATAAGGACCATTTGCTGTTCAAAAGGGGCTATGTCGTTCGTTAGGCTTGCATGCGCTATTGTTCGCTCCTCATGCGTTACTTATTGTTTATCCTTCCTTATGCGCTACTCCTTGGAAGAAGTGGGCTTCGTTCCTTACTTATCGTTCCTTCGGTCAGGCCGATAACTGTATGGGCCCTCGCCCTGCCCAGGGGCCACAACAGAAACGACTCGGGCTGAGAAGCGGCCCGGGGGAAAGGGTCGGGGCTTCAGGGGACCAGGGGCCCAGTATTGAGCCAACATCAGGACATCGGATGTCTGGGCGCGTACTCCAAGTTTCTTAATGGGCGTGGGGGGGGGCGTCACCCCCGCCGGCAGCCCCGCATCGACCCCCGTCGCGGGCAGCCACCGCGCGTCGACAGCGCTCCGACCCCCGTCGCGTCGTGACGACGAGGCGAGGTTGACCACCGTCGGGCGGGTTATCCCCCCACGCTTATTAAGAAACCCAGGGAGTAGGGTCAGGGCTCCTCCTCCTCCTCCTCCTCCTCCTCTTCCTCCTTCTCCTCCTCCTCCTCCTTCTCCTCCTCTTCCTCCTCCTTCTCTGGGTGGGGCCCGTCGAGGCAGTAAGCCAGCGGCGCCCCATCCCTGCGAGCCTGGGGGCGCGACGGCACAGCAGGCCGTGGGGGCACGCGAGGGTGCTGCACCGTGTGGCGTGCTCCAGGGGGCCCTTTTGACGCAGGGAGCCGCGGCGCCCCACCCCGCAGGGCCCACGTCGATCGGGTCGATCTGGTCTCGGCCTGCCCGATCTGATTCGAATCCGATCCCACCGCCCCCCAAACCACCCCCAAACCCGACCCGAAGGCCCCGACCTGCCCTCCACTTCCAGTAGGGGGGGTCGGGGAACAGTGACAAAACCACATGTGAAGCCCGTGCCCCCCCAATCCGAGATTCTTGTCTCCGGGTTGGGTTGGGGTGGTCTGGTAGGTAGTCGAATGCTCCGATTAAGTCGAGCCTGTCTCTCTACCGGAGGAATCTTCAAAAATAGTAAAAAAATAGTATGAGGACGATTTGTGTTAGTTATGTGTTGTTTTGCTGTTTGGGAGCATGTGTTAAACAATGTTTGTTCTTTCGCCTCAAATCCGCCTGTAGGGGGACATGCCCGACCTAATGCTCCAATGATCCGATGCGGCCTGGCGCTGTGCGGCGGCACGGCGCCGTTTTGCCTCCTGGTGCGGCCGACCCGGTCCGCTCCCCGCCCCGTGCGTGCAGGTGCGGCCCGCCCCGAGGCGCCTTCCCAGGCTTCCAGCGGGCTGTTTTTTTGTTTCGATCCGCGGGCCCCAGAGGTCTCGTCCCCATCCTTGGGGGCAGTTTTTCTTCCTGGGTTTGCTTTTGATCGTCTTGGGGCCGAGCAGGGTTTTCGAACGCAGAGGTGTGGGAAGATCTGGTGTGCAGAAGCAGGGAGGGGAGGAGGAGGAGGAGGAGGAGGAGGAGGAGGAGGAGGAGGAGGAGGAGGGATGTGGAGGAGGAGGAGGATGGAGGAGGGGGAGGAGGAGGAGGAGGAGGAGGAGGGAAGGAGGAGGAGGAGGAGGAGGGAGGAGGAGGAGGAGGCGAGGGAGGAGGAGGAGCAGGAGGAGGAGGAGGAGGAGGAGGAGGCGAGGGATGAGGAGGAGCAGGAGGAGGAGGAGGAGGAGGAGGAGGAGGTGTAGGTTTCGTTCGATTCGATCCGATGCTGACTGCTGGCGGCGCCCACCAGGGGGGCGGCGCGAGGGGGGCGAGCTTCCTGTGAGGGCGGCGGGGCTTCTCGGAGGGCCGGGTGGCTCCTGAGAAGTCCGCCCGCCTCCCGAGAAGCCTTCTTCGAAGCCTGCGGTGCCTTCTAAGATCCCTAAGGGCTTGTCGATTTTTCGCCAATCGACTTGTGGGAATCGAGCCACGTACAGGTAAATCGAGATGCATCCGGGTACATCCAAGTAAATCCGAAAATCTCCAGGGAAAGTTGGAGCAACTCTCGGCCGTTCCAGCGCGAGTCGAAGGACGGCAGAAGTCATTAAGCCTTTAATGGTAAGAGGGCCCGTGTCTGCTAAGGACCCCCTCCGTCTTTTCGGTAAGCCGCCCATCTTGCTCCACCCCACTCATGTACAGGCGCCGCCACGTCCGATCGCCCGATCCAATGCTCACTGGCCCTGCCTCGCCCGCAGGAGAGATCCAGCGGAGGCGCGCGCTGCGCGACTGGCCGCGCCAGCGCCCCCTCAGCGTTTCATGGCCCTCACTCGCTCCTACGAAGAACTCCCAGGAGTTGCCTCCTAACTAACTAGAACCATCGCGCGCGCTTCGCGCGCGCTCAAGTTCTAGCTAGGCTTGATCGGCCAACTCATGTAATCTCATGTTGGTCGCTTCTTGCGCCCAGGGGCTCCCTTGGAGGCCCAGCGCAATCCTCGGAATCGTATAGAAACGGAAGTGCGGAAACGCAGAAATCATTAAATTCCTTTGGGTATTCAACGTTTGGGGCCCTCAAATATTTCCTGTCTTTCCCCACATCCAAAGTGGGGTTCTTGTTTTCTCTGCACACCCCCCGCGCAGGATCTCACACCCTCTCTCTCTCTCTCTTCCTCTTTCTCGCCATCATCATCATCAGTCATCATCATCATGACCCACGCCTCTCCTCCTCAGCACCATCACGCTTACCCATACACCACTCGATCGCTCACTCACTCACTCACTCACTCACTCACTCATCATGATCATCACATGAGGATATCATCCGTTGGCGTCACACATCACTCAGTCAGTCCGTCACTCACTCGAGTATCAAGCGGGAGCGTCGTCTGTGAGTGAATTGCGAGGAAGTCTCAGGCGGGAGCCTCTCCCTATGGGGCCCGCAGATCATCTTACTAATCCGAGGCGGGTCATCGGGATCCTGTAACTGTCGTCACTTTTGGGCTCCTGGGGCGTGAATTTGGAGGAAGTATCAGGCGGGAGCGTCGTCTGTGAGTGAATTGCGAGGAAGTCTCAGGCGGGAGCCTCTCCCTATGGGGCCCGCAGATCATCTTACTAATCCGAGGCGGGTCATCGGGATCCTGTAACTGTCGTCACTTTTGGGCTCCTGGGGCGTGAATCTGGAGGAAGTATCTAGCGGGAGCCTCGTCTGTGAGTGAATTGCGAGGAAGTCTCAGGCGGGAGCTTCTCCCTATGGGGCCCGCAGATCATCTTACTAATCCGAGGCGGGTCATCGGGATCCTGTAACTGTCGTGACTTTTGGGCTCCCGGGGCGTGAATTTGGAGGAAGTATCAGGCGGGAGCGTCGTCTGTGAGTGAATTGCGAGGAAGTCTCAGGCGGGAGCCTCTCCCTATGGGGCCCGCAGATCATCTTATTAATCCGAGGCGGGTCATTGGGATCTGTAACTGTCGTCACTTTTGGGCTCCTGGGGCGTGAATTTGGAGGAAGTATCAGGCGGGAGCGTTGTCTGTGAGTGAATTGCGAGGAAGTCTCAGGCGGGAGCCTTTCTCTATGGGGCCCGCAGATCATCTTACCAATCCGAGGCGGGCCCTCGTCGGCGCAGGACAAGGGCGCCATGATGGTCGTGGCCTTCTCGAACGCGCAGGCGAAGAACATCTCCACGGAGACGGTGAAGGCCAGAACGCTGCACAACGCCTGTGCCCTGCGAGTCCAGAAGTACATCAACGCGAAGATGAGACCGGGGAGCATGCAGAAGAGATTGCAGTGGTTGTGGGAGCACGTCCGCGTCCTGGTCATCGAGGAGGTGAGCATGGTGGCAGCTGCTCTGTACAACGCTCTGGACCTCCGCGCCTGCCACGGGCGCAGTGACACGCACGACGTGCAGGAGTCCACCTACAAGAGGCCGCACCACCACTTCGGCCGCGTCCCCATCGTGTTGCACCTCGGGGATTTCCTGCAGCTGAAGCCCACCGGCAGCATCGGGCTCCTGACGGACGTGAACGAGCTCCTGGACGACGGGTCGTACAAGTACGCGGAGCCGCCGACGGTGGAGATCCAGCACGCCATCAGGGTATTCTCTCAGATCCCCTGCGTCTTCGAGCTGAAGGGCACGAAGCGCTTCGAGCCGGGGGACCCTCTGATCGCGTTCTTGGGCTGCATGCGCGAGGGCAAGCGCTTCCCACCAGAGGTCTGGTCTGCCTGGGAGAAGACGTTGGCCTCTGACAACCACGGCGTCCTGGACCCTCGGCACCAGCACGAGAACTTTCGGCTCGGCTACGGCATGGGCATCTACTGGGAGACGCTGGCGAGGTGGATCAACACGCGCGCTCGTCGCGACGCGCGGCGCCTCGGCGTCCCCCTCGTTTTCCTGCAGGCCGTAGACGAGTGCGGCACGATTCAAGGCGAACCAGACGCAGGCCGGCGCCTCCTGAACGTCCCGAACATGCACAAGACGGGGGACATCCACGGCGTCTTACCGGCACACGTCGGCATGGAGGTCCGGTTCACGGCCGTGCAGGAGGAGCTGAAGAAGAAGTTGGGGCTCGTGCAGGAGCAACGGGCCACCATCGTGTCCTTCGAGTTTCACGCAGACGACGAGCGGGACTACGAGGAGTGCGCGCCGGGCCAGCTCTTCCGCCCCCGCTTCCTACCGCAGGGAATCTGGCTGCATGTGCACGGCTTCCAGGAGTCCCCGATCTACAAGGAGGTCGCCGAGGTGCTGCTGCAGGGCACCGAGGGCGCTGACGACGACGGCGAGGCCCAGGCGCGGGCGAGGAGCTTGCTCATGTTCAGGCCCAGCGAGCAGGAGTTCACGTGGCAGAGCTCGGGGGCGCACACTGTGCGCCGCTCGGGATTCACGCTGACGCACGCGTCCTACCTGACCTCCACGCTGTCGCAGGGCCAGACGCTGCGCAAGGGCGTCACCATCGACTGCGCCAGGGATGAGGACGCTGGCCGCACGGGCATGTCG